GCTTACTCCTATGTGTTTCCATGTGGATGAACTATGATAATCATATTTGGTATAGGAGTAGAATATGGATAGGCTTGTGTGGGAGCTATTTTGGAGGTCGTGTCGAGTTTGGCGATGTTGATATTTTGTGCTACCTTGGAGTAATTAACTGATAGTTGAAGTTGTTTGACTAACAATGTGGGAGCTATTTTGGAGGTCGTGTCGAGTTTGGCGATGTTGATATTTTGTGCTACCTTGGAGTAATTAACTGATAGTTGAAGTTGTTTGACTAACAATCTAAGTTGTATAAATTACTTTTACTAGATTATTGTATTTTTAACACATATGTTTGTATAGTGTTTCACTTTCATATGAATGATATATAATACATGTTCAGATATCAATAGATATGTAACTCTAAGTTGTTATATAAACAATTACAAACTATTATTATTATTAGATATATATTTGAATATTGTTACTTAAAAAATGACCTTTTATTTTTTAATATTTAGAGAGGATCAATGAAATTAGAATAAAAAAGTATTTTAACATTCTATTTTTTATTAAATTTCTGTTTCAATATTATTACTAATTAAAATTTAAATTTTCTTTTAGAAATATTCTTATATATATATATATATATATATTATCTCCTATCAAAACGAATTACCAATCAAATTTCTATATCTTTCCTTTCACAAATCTAATTGTTATACATTATAAATTTTATTTTAAAAAAATAAACAAAAATAATTAGATAAAAACAAATATAGGTTTCATGTAAACAAAAAAAAAACTATTCAACATATTATGGACAGAAACAACAAAATTAAAACAATCAAAATCTATAACATTAATCAAATTAGATTCTTAAAATATATTTATTAAATCAAATTATTATGTTAAAGTATGTTTCCAAAAAAAAATTTAAAAATTAATGTAAAATATTTATATTAATTGTAAATATTTGATAGAAAAAATTAATTTTGATTGGAAAATTCACGTCATGGAACAAATTATAATACAAGTAATTTAATTTGAAAAAAATATAAAAATATATTTAAAAATACAACCATTTAAATTTTTTTATAAAATATATAATATTGATTTTAAATACACTTCATTCAAATTTTATGTAAAAAATAAAATATTTGATATACATGAAGCGAATAACTTCTTATATATTTTTTCTCCTAAAATCTCCCACCATTACATTAGACATATTATATAGAATCAAAATTAAAATTATATTATTATATAACAATACATTAATATAAGAAATCGCAACAACATCATGGGATATTTAATTAATTAATCATTACAATTTTAAAGTAATTGTAAACGAAAAAAAAATATTGTCATTCTATAACTTTGTTGTTTGATTTGTCAACAACTGTCAATAACTTTGAGATTGAGAGAGCCCAATAGTACATTGATATTTGAAGGGTTAGATTAGAGGTAAGTAGAATCAGCTCGAGGAAGGTATAAAAAATAAAATTTCAAAAGTAAGCTCATAACTTATATTTGTTTAGAACCTCAGAGAGAAGGCAAAGAGAGATCCTTTCTTTTTTCTCCCTTCTTCCTTACTTGAATTCCTTTTCTACTTTTCTCCTTATGGGTGAGTTGTGTGGGCTGGAATCCGAGCTTGTGAAAAGAAAGGGTTCGAGTTGGCGTCATATGGAGTTCATCCTCTTCTCCTTTTGTGGATTTGAGTCTCCAAGAGGCAAGGGAAACAATGATTTGAATTTAGGGTGTATTATGGGGTTGTGATGACCGAAATGAATTGTTTATTTATGTTGATTGAGTAATGATGAAGTTGGAAGGGATTTTTCATGGGTTTTGAGAGTTTGAGATGTTCATGGAGGTTCATGATTTATTGGTTATCCTTTTTAGTTGCATGTTGTTTTTGATGATGAATTATTGTATGTGTTGTATAGATGTTATTTAAGGTATTTCATGTTGTTGGAACTTTCTAATGCTTAGGTATTGTGTGAAACCGGGTTCTACATGAGTGCAGAATTTGATACCACGTCAAATGTGGTTCTAAAGGAAAGGCCACTCACGTTGGATGTAGGATCGATGACGCAAGGTGTGAGAAGAGAGACTCATATCAGGTTGGAACCTCATCGGATGTGGTTGAATGGTGCCAAGCGTGGATGCCTTGAGGGTTCTCTAACTTGGTGTTGTCGAGCCTAAGGTTGTGTGGTGCCTAGTGTGACCAAGTCAAAGCTCTCTATCTAGATTTCGTCAGGTGTCGTGGTGAAGATATCGAGTGAGACTCAGGTTGAGACTCTTTGCTTGAGATGGAGTTGTGCGTGAGGTCCCATGGGCCTATGCCTTAGCCACGTTGACCTAAGTTGTGTAATGTTGAGCGTGGATGAGATAGATAATTCTTTGCCTTAGTAACGTCAGGCACACACTGAGTAACGTTGGACGTGAGTTGGATGATTTGAAGTTGCATTTTAATGGTGTTTTTAAGTTAAAATATTTTTTAAACACATAATACAACCTCATTCTTGTGTATTAACATTTTTTTTTCTTCACATTTTTTAATATAAGTTAAAATATACTTTTGATCCTTTTATCTTATTAACAAATTTTGTTTCAGTCATTTATCTTTTAAATAATTTATTTTGGTTATTTAACTTCAAAATCTGAGTTAATATTGTCCTTCTAAAACAATCTTTTTCAAATATTTAGGACACAATTTTGAGCCATCTTTTATTTGATTTAAGACGTAAAATTTGTTTTATTAGTTTTACTTGTAATAATATTAGAACAAAAAATATCACAAACATGATAAAAATTCATTAGCAATTTGATTTTAATGCTAACAAACTATAATAAAAGTCTTAAATTATAAGTTAATTTGTTGGGTGTTTGGAAAAAAAAAAGTTAAGTGATATTAATTTTAAAGTAATTAAGATGCACTATTTGTTTATACAATGTATGTGATGCTATATAGTGTTGAAAAAAAATAAAGAAAATACATGATTATTAAAAATTATTATTTTTACTTAAGTTTATTTTATCTGAATTTTAATTTGAATTTATACATTACATTTAAGACTTTAATACTTATACTTATAAAAATGTCACATTTTTTTTTCCTTCTTCTTGATCCATTTTCCATTTTCCTCCATATTTCATCCACGTATATTTTTAGTTCCCATATATTGATTACTAATGTTTACGTGACACTAATAATATGACATTATATTAATATGACACATAATAAAGTTATAATGATATTATTATTATTTTTATATGACACATGGCATTATGACATCAACAAATTGACATTTTTGTAATTATATTTAATAACAAAAATTAAAAGTATTCACAATGGTTTTATCTTAATTTTTTCCTTACCAAAGACAATTTAGGTGATATCATGAGCTACTTAACTTTAATATATGTATCTTATATAAAATACAATTGCTTAATATAAAAAATTATTTCTTTACAAGGTTTAGCCATCAAGCATAAAGAGAAGGAAAAAATAATCGTAAAAATCATAACAATATACTATAAGAAGATAAACAACAACAAGCAAAATATTCCATAAATGAAGAACATAAATCATCAAAAAAACAAAAGAGCAAGACATGTTGACCATGATACAATTAAGAGAAGTTGAGGCATAATAGTAAGATCTAGAGGACAAGGTAGTGAGACAATGAGGTTAAAAGGATGAGACAGTGAGTTGGGAAGGAGATGTGTACAAATTTGAAGGGTGAGGTGATGCAAATGAGGGTTAAGAGAGTTTAAGAGCGAGGGTTGAGAGGGTTCATGCAATTTGACAACGAGGGTTGAGAGATGAAGAAATATGAAAGATTGTGAGATGGCGATGAGTGAGGGTTGAAAGAGTTTGAGGATTGTTGAGAGATTAAAGAATTCAAAAGGAGTATTTGAGAGATGAAGACCTCTAGAAACTTTTCCCCTCATAAATTATAAATCTAAGAAAAATTGAAAAACAATTTAATCATAGATTAATGGATGTGAATGAGTCTTTGTTATAATTTGTAACTAATTATGATAAAAGTTAATTAAAATATCACAATATTCTTATTATTTTATTAAAATTGTTGAATTAATATTTTAATTTCATACATCATCAAGTACAAATAAAAATAAAATAAAATTTAAGAGCTGCTTAAAATTTTATGCTAATAAATTGCTCATGAGATGCTTAAATATAACGTAACAATATAAACTTCAATAAAATGAAAACGATACATCTTTAAGATACACCCATTATGGATTCTAGTAATTAAATATTTGATATTTACATTTTTTAAAAAAAAATTCAAAGATGGAAAATAAAAACGATAAATTAAATAGTAAAAAGCGTATTTAGTTTTTTTTTCTTCTTCTTATCTTTAGAATTGTTTCTTACTTTTGTCTTTTTTAAGGAAAAGAGAAATAGAAGATGCCTGCCTTGCATTATACCGGCCGTGATATAGATTGAACTTATCGAAGAGAATGTATAAAGTAAAGTGAAAAGAACACGAAATAAAAAATTAATAAAGGAAAATGATCAAATGTCAAAATCATATACGATCTCTAATTTTACATATAATTAATTATTTTTTATAAACTTAAAATTTTAACATTTATACCAATAGTAAAGACGATATATTTTTCTGTATATATATTTTTAGACTATTTTATTTACGTAATTTCCAAAAATTACTTGTATTTAATTATAATTATTTTTATCATTTACTTTTTTTTATAAATAAAACACATAAAAATGGTTTTTTTCACTGTTTATCGTAAGAGAAATGGTAAACATTTGATAGTGTAATCTCAAGTGTATGATTCAGCTGTAGGAATTGGTTTGAATCTTGTCTTGTGTATGCAGTCACGTTAAATTTTGGGACTAGCTATCTCACTTTTTAATGTATTTTTAACCTAACAAGAAGATTAGTCACTGCTATCACGTAGATACCACGAACCAAAACATTCGATAGTGTTGACTAATAAGTAATAATTTATACGAGACGGGAAGAGGGCACATCCTCGTAAGCCACGTCAGCTGTGACACACAGTGCGATTTGTTATCGGTCTGGGTAGGTAATGCGATGATTTATCCGGTGAAGGGAAGGGAAGGCAGAGAGAGAAAGAGAGTGGTGTTGCTTAGTAGCCAAGACAATAATAATATTGAAACCCAATTTAATTAGGTTTCCACCTGCTATTGTATCGTTAGAAACCGAAACTGTCAAGAGTGGGCGAGGATGGCAGAAGAAAAAGAATCAACGTCGATTCCTCTTAGTCAAGCCGACAATGCATCTCGCGACGATCCCGAAGACCCAGCCAAGTCTCCTCCAAGCTCCCCCAACTCCTCCACTCGCAGGGTCCTATTCCTTATTTTTCTCTCTCTTAATTTCAAATGTTATTTTTCTCCCTTTAAATTAGGGCCACCTTCTTCGATCTCGGATCTTGCTCTTCGTTGTCGTTTTGTTTATTTATGCGGTGGATGTAGATAGTCGGCAAGTCAACCAAGAGTCTTCTCGGAAATCTATTTTTATGGGCTCAGAAATAGGTTTGAACCCGGAATAGAATGTTTTGTAATTAATCATGTTGACTGCATAACGGATCTGCATTTGCAGCATTTCACGACCAATGGATTTTGTTTAAGGTGTGTTTTTATGTTATACAAGAATAAGCCCATGTCGTAGTGGAGAGACTAATAGTTCAAATCTTAGCTTTGAGAAATTGCTGAGAATATTGAGCAGGGGAGTCTGTGGTCCATATTACCGAGGGATAACTCCATTTCTTAAAAATATCCTCTTATCTTCTGAGCGATCAACAATAGTTTTTATTTTGGTTTGCATTTCCTCTCATGATTTTTTTATTTATTATTTCTTTACAAATTGGAGTGAGACCAATAAAGTAATAATATTCTCTATATAAGTTCTAACACCGGTAGGAGTTCATTCTCTGATTTATGGGTAACATGTTGAGATTTTGCTTGCACTTAGCTCTGAGGAGCAAAATTTGCTCCTTGCTTTGTTGTCCTAAAATGTACTTATCATATCTGAATAAAATTGTTAAATTGGATCACACAAAAAATATGACGAACTCAAAAAAATTGGAACATGGTCATAATTAAACTGCACTTTCCTGTTACCCTAAATTAGACATGCCTCAGGAAAAGGACACATGACTGCTGGGTGTTGGAATTCTAGGCTGATTTAGTGTGAGCCTTTCTGCAAACAACTGAAGCAAGAGTGGTTATCTTGCTTTTTATGATAAGGAGCTCTAGTGAGCATCTGTTTGGTGTAATAAATAGGTTATGAAGTTTTATATTTTATTTCAAGAGAATATCTATTTTTATCTTGCTATTGACCCATTATGTGCACTTGTTTCAGGCTTGCTGCTTTGTTCTCCAGAGTTGGGTCTCAAAGAAATTTATGACTGGATGGTAATGGACAAAACCACTCATTTAGATGATTAAATTTTATTATCATTGTTGATGTGACATTTTTTATTCGTTTGATTATCAATCTGCAGTGTTGTTCTTTTTCCAGTAGCTGTTACCTTCTTCATTACATGGTGGTTTATTCAGTTCGTTGATGGTTTCTTTAGTCCAATATACTCCAGGCTTGGCATTGACATATTTGGTGAGTAATTTATTTTGCCAATTAACATAGCTTGTATAATTATTTTTTCCTTCTTGAGAAGTTACCAATAAGGGGAGTTTTTATTATGCTATATGTAATATAGACTGTCATATGACATATATCTGAAACATAAAAAGCAAAGTGAACGAATATATACTGCATGAACTTGAAAATTCAAAGGTAATATAGACTACTATATTGTTTTACCAGTTGTGCAGGAAGGCATTATTGTTTCTTATAAAGTTTTAGTGGCTAATATGGAATAACTCATTTGACTTGTGCTGTAAATGGTTTAGAGGATATCTTACTGTCTTCATTCTTGTATTTCTCTGGTTTTCTTTGATAAATTTATTTTCTATCAAGACACCTCACATATAATATATTGCTGCAAACCTCTTATGTTCCTTATTTATTTTTTAACCTTTCCATTGGGTGATCTGGATTTTGGTACTTAACCTTACTCTGTTTTAAATGTGATGTATAAAGTGTGAAGGCTCTTTGTTTGTGGTGCAGGACTTGGTTTTGTTACATCGTTAGCTTTTGTATTTCTTATTGGTGTTTTTGTTTCGTCATGGATGGGAGCCACTGTTTTCTGGATTGGAGAATGGTTCATAAAGCGAATGCCCCTTGTTAGGCATATATATTCTGCATCCAAGCAGATTAGTGCTGCAATATCTCCAGGTATGCTCTTCATAGGCCATAACTGCATTTCAATTAGAATTAGCCATAAGAGTTAGATAGTGGGGTCTGAGTTCACAGAGATGGGCAGTGGCCAATGTACAGGTTGGGTAGCTAGTGATGTTACAATAGGAAAAGTAACTTCTTTTTAAGTAACTTTCATGGCAGAATGCATAATATTCTTTTTTTAGCTTTACCTTAATTTTAGTGTGAATATTGTCATGTGTACCAAAGGCACACAAATTGGCATGTCAAAGTTATAATGCAAATTATTTTTCATCCACTCTCACTCACATACGCCCATGGGACAAACTACTTGGTTAATTTTGAGCTCACCAATTTTCGTATGAAAACATCTCTCACTAAATAGCATTTCTCTTGAGCAATATGGATGTGACGATGGAAAAGAAAAGAACTAACAAATCCGGGTTGGTTATGGCATTCTGTAGTTGTAAAGTCAATAAGGAATAAATGATGATAGTTGTGGCAATGGTTGTTATGTCACGGGTGTGTTGTACTGGTAGGGGTTTTGTAATTGTAATATACTGGTGAAGCTGAATCGGTAATGGTGATTATAGAAAAATTGATGGTATTGATAGTATGTTGGTACAAATTCACTAAACTAAATTGAGTACATATATAATAAATTTAGTTATTAGTTTTGTCAAGTTATCATATGCTATGAATAGGGTTCATTAGGCCATTCGTCTATAGATTAAAGGTATGGTTTAAACTGTTTTTCCTCATCATTTTACCTGTCTACATTTTCTTTTAAGCCAAACTGTCTTCCCAATCAGTGAGTTATAATGTATTATACTAGTACCAAGAATCAGTAAATAAGAAAAAATGAAACAGCTTTATGGAAGAATGCAGACCCTGTCTGTCTGGACTCTGTGAGAATAGGCTAGAGTATCCAGAGAAATTCACGAGACTCTGGATCCTCCTAACAATTTCAGATTATGACCAAAAAGACCCATTTGGCCATAAATCCTTGCTGTCCCTGTACAAATAATAACACACCCAAAACTAACTATTTATTCACCTTGGGTCCTGTCAACCATTTATAATGATTTTTTTTAACACCTTTTCAGATCAAAATACCACTGCCTTTAAAGAGGTAGCAATTATCCGTCACCCACGTGTTGGTGAATATGCCTTTGGCTTTATTACATCAACTGTTACTCTACAGGTACTCTGAACTGTCTCTATAAATTTGTTTACCAACCTCCTCTTATTTATATTGATTGAATATATGTGACGGTTTCATTCTTTTATTTTGATAGCAAATAAACTTCCATCAGTTTCTATTATTTGTATTAATTTGACTGCCATGAAATGTAATATATCCAGTGTTGGAAGCTGGAATGCACACATATTGGTATCACATATAATACGATGTGGTCCATTTTAACATGATTCTCAGGAAGTCACCTTCATTAGATCACTGCTGGATAATCGTAACAATAACATTTCAAAAAAGGGCTTCTGTAAAATATGGTTTCTAATACTTGATATGTCATATTTTCTACGGGGATAAAGACACGTGTCTACTATATACCCTATGCATTTATGTGAGTCTGTGTGTGAGATTTGAAGCAGCATTAATTTTGCTAAGTACATCCCTGGTTTACAATGTTTTTACTTAACATAGTGTTTAGTTAGAGGGGAATGAAGGAGAGAGGAGGGGAGCAAAATTCCTCTTAACCCAATTTTAACTCCCTTCTAATATTGGCGGGATTTGAAGGGGGGAAATGATTTTAAAACATTTTTAATATAATATTCAAAATATTCTTATTTATGTTATTAAATTTTGAATTATAAAGATACAAAAGTAAATTAGTTTTTAAAACCATTCTTCTCCTCCTCTGAACCAAACAAGAGCTTTGTTTTAGATATTTGATCATTGATTATATCCTTTTTCCTCCATCCCAGAAAGATAATGAAGATGAAGAGCTTTGTAGCGTTTTTGTCCCAACGAACCATCTGTATATTGGCGATATATTTTTGGTTAACTCGAAAGATATTATAAGACCAAATCTTTCCATTCGAGAAGGCATAGGTAAGTTTTCTTTCCGTTGATTCATTGCCAACTTTACTTTACGTGGGTCGTATTATTCTGCATGTTGAAATTCTTAAACTTTATTTACATGTTTTCTAATTTTATGGTGTAACGTTTGGTTGACGCTGATGCAGAAATCATTGTTTCCGGGGGAATGACTATGCCACAATTGATATCTCCAGTGGAAAGGGAAACTAGACCGAATGAGAGAATCTCTCTGAACAGAATTGGATAAAGAATTATACCTGTTGAAGATCACGACTTCTTGTACTTGTCGTCTATTAACATGGAATGGATGGACCACGTTGGTGATGGACATTATATTCTGAACTGCCTTCTGATGGAAATTGTATTTGTATAAGAAAATTGTTGTTTTTTACATTCTGTTAGAAGTTCAAATGAAAGTAAGATATCTTGTACCACTGTAGTTGTATTCCCAGTATACCCCCTGCTTTTGTTCTATTTCTATCCACCCAACCTTAGTTTGACACAGACGAGCTACCAATATATATTCTGAGGGCCTCATGTTATTAACATGAAATAGTAACAAATCATAGTAGTTGGATCTCTGTCCAAATATAATTGATGAGGAGTTTATCTAAATTACATCTATCTTCCTGTTTGTCTGTTTGAAAAACTATGTTGAGTTTGTTCTTGATTTTTCACCTTTACGAATAGGCAACATGTACGAAAAATTTTAGGCAATAAATTGATGATTAAATTTTACATATTATTAATAAATTTGGTTTCGTAATTATTTTTTATTGCTATCATCGTGATAATATATTAAGTTTGAGTGGTTGGGATAATTTATGTTTGTATTTTATTTTTCTTACATGCCATTTTATTTTATGATACTTTTATTTTTTGAATTTTATATCAATAAGTTATGTATAAAAACATTTTTTATATTTTAATTTTTAATCAATATTTTAATTTCTTGGATAATATATTTTTTGGTACACTTAAAACCATTACAATTAAGTGTACCAAAAAAAATCTATCACTATTAAACTAATATATATATATATATATATATATATGTGTGAACAATTTAATTTTGTTTAGCATCAAAGACAATCGAAGCAAGAATTTAGCATACGTCTGGTGGAAAGTATTTTCCTAAAAAAACTACATGACAACGGAACAAATAAGAAAATATGATCCATAATCAATGTTAAAATTGACTAACTTATAATGGGTCATTGGGTCCTGTAAGAAAACACTTATAATGGGCCAAGACTAGGTTTGGATTAACACGTACGTACATGTCTCGATTACACATTTACGGTGCTTTTTGATTTTATTTTTTTAATAAAAAGTCATCCTAATTAAATAAATAAATAAAAAGGATACTCATATGAATGTAATAAAGTAGTGAATTCAAACCAAATTAAATCGGTATTTTGCAATCCAGTTTAGTTCCTCTACAAAATTAAAGGAAAAAGAATTTTAATAATTTTTTTTATCCTTGTAAAATATATTGTTTTTGTTTTTAGTCTTTTTTATAAAACTTTTAGAATTTTATTTTCTCACTTGTTTTCATTTTCGTCCTTACCATCAAATTGACCATTAACTTTACCAGAAAAATCTAAAAAGAATTAAAGAAAAATAGAAATACGAGAAAATCAAGAGAACAAAATAGAAAAAAGACCAAAACACAAAATAAGTAAAATTTGATATAGGATCACCGTGCAGATAACTATAATTAATAGGATAAAACGAAAATAATATTACTTTAAAAGGACTAATCTTCTATTGTGAGAAGTTTCTCATCCTTGTGAGAAGTTTAACCTAACCACTGCTATGTACATTGTTACTCCACCATACGTGCCAAACTTCATGGAACCACCAAATTTGGGAAATCTGGCACTCGATAACGATGAAGAGGAAGGTGTAGTCCTATCAGAAGAACCCAACCCTGAACCTTTAACAAACTTATCTCTCTATCTGATACGGAGATTCCTTACAGAAAGAAAAAATCAAAGTCCAGGTGATGAAGGAAAGAATGACGGAGGTCTAACACCCAAGAAGAGGAGTTTCCATTACACCTGTCAAAAATGCATCAATCTGACCTGTTAGTTCGAGCCTACCTTAACTTACTTTATATGTGTATTGATTCGGTCTAGCCTACCAAATTTATTGTCTAAAATTTCCTAGTCCAACCTTGCCCATCACGAATTGATGGAATAAACGAGTCGATCCATTAATTTACCTAATTTTTTAAAATAAAATTATAATTTAAAATAAATTTTAATATAAAATAATCTCTAATCTAAAGTAAAAATTATCAAATTAAGTATCACGCATATAACATTAAACTTAAATTAAAAAATGTACAACTTTAAAAAATCAAAACAAAAAGATAAAAATCATTTCATGACATCAATATTAAATTTTATTGGAGATTTGAATAGATAAATTTATAGTAATTTCATGTTGTTTAACATTGATTTTATCTTTATCTATAAAAAAAATGTTATATTGTTAAAATAATACATATATAATAATAATTAATTAAGTGAATTATTAGTAGTTTAGATTGACGGGGTGGTAAGTGGATTAGGTGGGTAGCCTGGCCCACCACGGACTCAACCTGGATGGACCGGGTCGAAAGTGGACTGAGTCATATTTTTTTAACCATCATAAATTGTTTCATTTTTTTATCCAACTCAACCCGTTTTCAAGGTAGGCTACCCCATGGACTAGAGCACATTTTGACGACTCTAGTTTCTATAATGAAAATGAACCAGGCATCTTTCTGTTTCAATTTTTCCACCATATATACAAAGTAAAAATGTTAATTTTCAATGACCATATAAAAATTTTAACCTTAAAAGTAAAATATAAGTATTATTTTTAATATAAGCATAATGTTCCTCATATTTCTTCAAATTATATAATTTTATATTTTACCTGTATTTACAAATTTTTATTTTTTACATGTTGTATAAATCCACTATATTTTCTTTATTAGAAAAAGTGAAAACCAAGTGTAAGTATTTTTGTAAATTAATTTTTATATATTAAACATGAATTTTTATCTTAATTTTTATAAATTTTTCTTTACCAAGAGTGTGACACCCTTCTACCCCAACATTAATACACAATAAATGTAAATATTTTTTTTTCTTTTTGAGTAAATAAAATCTTTCGTAGTTGACAAATGTCTCAAATATCACAAGGTAGAAGATTCACATTCATAACTCATAAATCATCACTCCAATGTAGAAATTATAAAAGAAAAGAAGTTAAGATTTTCAATACAATTTAGTGAAAAATAAGAAATCATATATATATACAAATAATAATAAAGGAAATATAAATTAATTCCAGTAAAGGTGGCAGTGCCTCCTGGTTAGGGATTAATTTATAACTTCCAAATCATGTAATAAAAATATAACAAAAATGTACATTTGAGTCTTTTATTGGATTATAAACTTTATCTACATTATCTCTTCGTTAGAAATTACAAAAGAAGAGAAACTAAAGTTATTAAAACAATAACATATTAAACTAAGCTAGCTATGCCCCGATGTCACATCCTATCAGAGCATGCCCAACTGAAGTCTTAAGCCTCATCAACCACATCCTCATGATGCTGATTGCCTGCAACATAATTTAAACATATACAAAAACAACAAGGGAGTGAGAAACTTATCACTCAGTTTTAGGTGAAGAAATAAAGGTTAGATAGCCAACAAATATAAATCACATATAAATAATACACATAAATAATCAATATCACATATATACTCATTTATCATGTTATGATGTCATGGACTCGACTCATAAATGCATGCATGTGGCGCCATAAGGAAGTTTCACATATCATCACTGGTGACTCTAAGGTACACCTTGTTAGCATGTTACATCGTGGGTGACCCTAAGGTACACCTTGTTAGTCGTGGGTGACCATAAGGTACACCTTGTTAGTCGTGGGTATGCGGCCTCAGCGGCACACCTGGAGTCATATATGCATATGATGCATGTCATACATTTATAATTTCATTCACTCAACATTTAACTTATTACATAATTTCATTTAGTACATCATGTCATCATTTTTCATATTTTTATAATCACAACTTGTCTCAATAGTCCATTCGTAGGTCTCATGTCATTTGTCCATATTTCACAAGGTCATGTCATAAATACTCCTCATAAGGTCCGCATAGGAATTCATAGAGAACATTCTTTTTCATATTAAAACTTATTTAGTTTTAGCATTAATTCCATATTCATTTATTACTTTCAAGGAACAAAGTAACAAAGAACAAAGTAACAAGGAAACAAAGTAATAAGGAACAAAGTAACAAGGAAACAAAGTAACAAGGAACAAAGTATCAAGGAACAAAGTAACAAGAAACAAAGTAGAGCAAATAAAAAGACAGAACAATAGGCAAGGGATTGGGGGTCAATCCGACAAACAAACTATCCAACAATTATCCCCACACCCCCGAGCGAGGTTTCTCACTCCCCTTACCTGGATAAGCGGAGTTGAAACTTGGGTATGGCCTCCTCCTCTGGATTCCCTCTTTCTTTCCCTCTCTTTCTTTCTCTTTCTCTCTTTCTCTCTCTCTCTCTCTCTCTTTCTTTCTCTCTCTAAGATTTTCACTTATCACTCCGTTATAAAATTTTCACCCTCCTGCCCCTATTTATAGGCAACCTGGTGTACCCGGAACGGCCCGTATTGAATTCGGAATGGCCCGTTCCGGATCCTTCGAATCTATGCAAAATTTTCAACTGGAACGCCCCGTTCCAAAATCAAAACGGCCCGTTTCCAAAAAGCAGAACGACCCGTTCTAAAATTAGAACGACCTGTTCTGGGGTTCACGTTTACACTTATTGACCATAGTTGGAACGCCCAGTTTCTAACACAACTTTTTAAGCATTTTTAAAATCTCGGAACGGCCCGTTTCCCTTTGGGAACGACCCGTTCTGGTAAAACAAAAATGAGTCTTTTTATTAATTTGGAACGGCCCGTTCTGCTGCTCGAAAAATAGTATCTTTTTTTCGTCTGGAACGGCCCGTTCCGGCGTAAAAAAAATATAATTTTACAAAATTTTTATAACCATTTAATTAACTAAAATAACTATACAAAAATAAATAATAATCAACATTATATTAGTAGAAAATTCGGGGTGTTACAAAGAGAGTTGGTAAGATTTTTTTTTATTTTGTATTTAATTCAATTTTTATTTATTATAATTTTTATTAATTAAATATTAATATTTTAAAATAAATTATTAATAAATAAAAAATAAATTTTACAATACAAATTATTTATTATAAATCTAAAATATAATTTATATGTTTAAAGTTGTTCATGTATAATTATTTTAAAATTTAATTATATTATACGTAATAAACATATATATGTATATTGTATAGACTAAAATACTAGTTTATATATAAATTATAATAATTATTTAAAATGAGATATTTTTAGACATTATTATTTAAAGTACAGATAAATTAATATGATTATTTAAAATGAGATTTTTTTTTAAAAGTTATTACTTGAAAAAATAATTCTATGAATTTTTTGTTAAAATTTTATCATTTAAATTTATTTTTAATTTGAAATTAAATTTAATATTTTTAAAAACAAGTATTAATAATTTTAAATAATGAATAATAATAATCTTATACAAATAAAGCATAATTTATATGTGTAAAATATTTATCTCGTAAAAGATAAAACATTTAAATACTAATACTAGTATATGTATAAGGATATAAATCAATTCTTATATATTAAACATGAATTTTTATTTTGCATGAAAACATTTTTTAGAATTTTTCATTGACATGAGAGTTTTTAGAGATTTTTTTAATTTGTTGTATAATTTAGTTTTTATTTATTTTAATTATTTATGATTTAATTTTTAATATATTTAAATAAATTATTAATAAATAAAATAATATTACACTATAATATAAATTATTTATCATAAATATAAAATAAAATTTATATATTTAAAAATATGACTTATATATTTAAATTAATATTTTATTTATATATATAATTTATTATAATTTTAATAATAAATATTATATATATTTAATATAATATATATTTAATTTATTTATTTCACATATTAAAATAAAAATGATGAAATCTTTTCAACGTTGTTATTTTAACAGATAAAAAAAAGTAAGCTTAATTGTGTTTTTGATCAAGTATTGTAGTCGTGCAATTTTGATCTTTAAGATTTTAATCAAGTAATTTTAGTCCTTAAAAGATTGTAATAGTGTGATTTCAGTCCCTTGATTTTTAATTGAACAATTTCAGTCTTTTAAATATTATAATTGTGCAATTTTAGTTTTTTTCATTAAAAATTTAATAATTTTAAAATTTTAATATATATATATATATAAGATTTTAAAATTATACAAATTTTTGCTTATTTAAGTTAATGTATATTATAATTTTTTGTTAATGTATTAAATGATATATATTTATTATTACTACATAAATAAAATTTATATATTATTATTATTTTAATATTATTGATAAATTAATATAAATAATACTTTTAGTATATTTATAGATAAACTAATAATTTGATCAATATAACTTAGTATATATTAATATACTTTTACAAAAATATAAATATATTAAATAAGATGTGTATATTTTTAATTAATATACTTATATTTTTTGTAAAAGTATATTAATATATAATAAGTTATATTTATCAAGTTATTAACAATATATAAATTTTATTTATTTAATAATAATAAATATATATCATTTGATACATTAACGAAAACTATAATATACGTTAACTTGAATAGACAAATAATTGTATAATTTTAAAATATTATATATATATATTAAAATTATTAAATTTTTAATAAAAGAGACTAAAATTATTCAATTAAAAATTGAAGAATCAAAATCGGAAGATTGCAATCTATTAGAGATTAAGTGTGTGTTTGGTTAAAATTTTGAACGTGATAAATCACGTCAAAATAGAAGCTATCAGTTATAACTTGTGTTTTAAACGTGATTTTTGCTTCGAATAACGTTTTAGATGTGTTATCAAACACACACTAAAATTACCAAATTAAAATTTTAAAGATCAAAATTATACAATTACAATACTTGAGAGATAAAAATACAATTAAGCCATAAATGTACTAGTCTTTGTTTCATAAAAACAGAGGATGCATCATTGCATGTTTAAAGTTTTAGTTTATTTATTTATTTATTGTTATTTTTCCCTGTATTAAAAGTTTTTTATTTTTTTACAGACACAATATTAAAGCTTTATAGATTAGGGATAGATTAGGGAGACCGGAATAGCCAATCAAACCCGTCTTCTTGTTTTCTTTTCCTATCTACAGAAAAAAAAACCCAAAACCCTAGAATTTGAGAATCTAGAGCAGCAATGGACTTCGACGAGTACGATTATTTGGAGAAGACAGTGGAGGAGCAAGAGGACAGAGACTCGAGCAGGAGGAAGAAAGAGAGCGGTGAGAAGAGCGAAAGAAGCTACCGGAAGCGCGAGGAGATCGACGACGGCGCTGACGAGAGGAGGAGCAAGAGGTCAAGGGGCGACGACGAGAATGGCTCCAGGAAGGAGAGAGATCGCGAAGAACGCGACAAGGAGCGCCGCAGGAGTAGCAGAGACAGAGACAGGGATGGAGAGAGAAGTAGCAGAGACAGGGACAGGGAAAAGGAGAGAGACAAAGAGAGGGATCGGAGGGACAGAGATAAAGAGAGGGAGAAGAGGGAGAAGGAAAGGGAAAAGGAAAGAGAAAGAGAGAGAGAAAGAAGGGATAGAGAAAGGGAGGAGAGAGAGAGGTCTCGGAGGAGCAGAAGTCGTTCTGAGCGAGAAAGAGATAGAGAAAGGGATTTCGACACCAGAGATGGCCGGTAATACACTTAATCTTACTTCGTATTTGCTAATTCTCTGCTTAATTTTTTGCTCAAATTTTTGGCATGGGTACGGCAATATATATTATAATAGAATACTATAACATAGATGATATTAGCAGAACGGTTTTCAATAGCAGCCATTTTCATTTGCTATTGTGAATTGTCCCCTCTCATTTTCTAATGCTTTTTTGTTTGCTTCATATGCATAATAGGATTTGAAACCCTTCTTAATTGACAATTTCACAAAAAACAAAACCCGTCGATATTTGTTTCTTCATACTTTACAAGACTATTTTTTTCAGTGTTCCATTATTTCTTCTAACTTTATATTTCCTAGTTCACATTCTGCTAATATATCTAATATGTTGCATCATTCTTTTCTGTTTCTATTAATTTTAGCATCATCTTTTTTTTTTTTTTTTTTTTTTTTTTTTTTTTTTTCTAAC